TTCTTCAATTATATACAGATACTAAATAAAAGCTATAAAAGTATATTTATTCAGTTTGTTTTCAACGTAGTACTATCAGATTGTTTTGAAAGCTTAATGCAGTCACTATAACAATATTCGAATTTCACAAATTTCGACTTCTGGAGGAATTCAAATTCTGATGGCTGAATATATTGAGATACGTTCAATGGCATTGTGACATGTGCAATTCACTGAAAGCGGAATTACAGGTATGCAAGTAATATAGTGCCATAAAGCCAAGACAGTAGTCCAAACAGCATCTGAAATGTTGGTGGGGGAAGGGAGTGTCGGAAAATATATAATGTTAGGGGATGGAACAATTTATTTATAATTTTTTTTTTTTAATCACAACACTAAACAATTTATTCATAATTTTTGAAATCAGAACACCAGTAAGTAATGTATCAATGTTTTTGGTATTTAAATTGCACAGCATCTTTATTTCAAGAATAAGGCGTTTGTTAAATGTCTTGTATTAATCGTGATAAGGCTCTGCGTCGACTTCACTAAAGCGATTGATGATAGACCTATGATTTTATGGGGAAGATATTATGGAAGAATAGGGGGAAAGATAATTATCTGGGTGAATTTTCTTTTTCCCTCGCCCCACAAACTCCTCTAGGGTTCCAGATACATACTGATTCGCTAAGATATTTGAATACAGCTTCTTGTTTTCAACAAACTCTGATGTTGGATGGAACTAAAGATATACCGTAAGTCCTCGAATGAGCGCCGAGGCGCTTTTAAGATTTTTGGAGGCTTCAGTGTGGCGCTTATTCGAGAGTGGTGCTTTCCATGCCCGTTTTTCCCATGCTATCTATCTCAGGTATCGTAGCCCTATCATAGGCCAAACATTATTGTAAATAAACGTTTATAAATATATTTCTGTATATGTTTATGTCTTCATTGTTTTATTTATGCATTTGAACAAGGCATAGGCCTACATTGTATATTTAAAACCCTGTTTCTTAAAGTGTTTACACACATAATAATTATGTACTCTTGATTAAGCGCCGCGGCGCTTATTGGAGAGCGGCACTTATTCGAAGATTAGTACGGTACTGTACGAAGTAAATAGTCCCAAACTTATTTGTTTCGATGTGTGTATAATTTATGATCATTTACATCATCATCAGCGAGCACCCAAAATCAATCTCCAGGCTTCTGTCAGGTTCGAAGTCCAACGAGATCCCAAAACGCTGGTACACTGTCAATGTGTATCAATAATGCATTAATGGTCAATTGCATGCAGTACACCAAGGCTCAAATTAAACGTTTTTACTCAGATATGATAATACTTTTATTATTATTTCTATTATTCTTATTATTATAGCTGTGTACAGTTAATTTATATGTCTTTTTATACCCACAAACAAATCTAGTACGAATATAATTCAACAACGTAGGCTTATATTGCATCAAACGACGAGCAATAAATAATGCAATAGACCTATTCATGCTCCGTACGGTACTATTGCAAAAACGTATCATTGTGAAACCCAAAGGTCCACTGATTAATATCAGATAAGATAGTATAATACATACTCCAAGTGTCGAAATGCACGCCATCGTGTCGGGATTCGATATTTCGACATTAATTATGTCATCATCAGGAATGATGATGTCATCATTGTGAATGATTAATATTGGACAGATGATTTAAATTGAATAGGCGTCCTCGTATCCATAATTTATATTTCCAGCTTGAAATATGTAACACACACATTAAAAGAGGATACAACGGCGGCACTGTTTTTGAGCGTTGGGTGGGCCTGTAAACATTTTTGCTGGCGGAGGGAGCGAGACTCCCGAATCAAATTCGAAATTCGGACGGCGCTTCCAATTATACTGAACTCCGGCGTCTTATACGACATATATCATCCAGTGACGGATTAAAGGGCCCCCTATCAATTTATCAAACTTTTTTTTTTAAATAAAGATCAAAAGAAAATTATATTTAAATTAAGACTGTGAGTACCATTTCCGGCCATTTACAGTTCCATAATCATTACTTAAATTTTCAAATTCCTCAGATCCGCCACTGATACTATCATTTATTTTCGTCCTTAAAAAACATTTAGAATAAATTGACAAATTAGGCCTAATTAAAAAACGAACACATCTATCCCACAACGGATTTGGCGACCGAGACTCCAAAAAGGCTCCCAGTCCCAGAAAGCCCCAGGGCCCACGGCCCCAAGCGTTAAGCCTGTTTTTCCACTTGGCGAATTTATTCGCGCGAATGGAAAGCGTCGGCTCATGTACATGTGCATTCACATTTTTATCGGGGCTTCTATCGAAGCGAAAAAATAGGCAACCAATCAGAGCTCAGGAAGCGAACCGACGCTCTGATTCGCGCGAATAAATTCGCCTAGTGGAAAACCGGCTTTACGCCACTGGGAGCGTGTGGTACAGTGTGTGAGGTGTTGGACCTGAACGTGAGGCCGTCGTCGAGAGTTCGAGACCGACGCTCGTCGCATTGCATGTGTCCTTGGGCAAGGCACTTTACTTAGCCTATGTTTGCCTCTCTCCACCCAAGTATAACTGGATTCCTGGTAGGATGGTATATCATTGAATGTATGGGTCGTGCGCGTACAAGAAGCAGCAGTGACCGGGGATACTCCCCAGGGACCAGAGAAAGTTGCACAATGTGCGGTCTGCCAACTCAGTATCCAGTGACCAGAGAAATAATGATGCCAGTGCCTTGTATAATTGCCTTTGTATAATCTGCGGATAGTGATAGGCGCTATATAAATTCTGGTTCTAAAGAAAAACAAACAAAAACAAGAAAAAAGTAGGATCCGCCGAACCTAAATTAAACCGCGTATTTCCGATGCGCTGAACGCCGGTGTCCCTATTCTTACACACTGATTCTATTTTCTGAGCGGTTCTTGTAGGCTTTCCGATCTGAAAATTCGGATTCGGTAATGCACCTTTAAGGTTACAAACGCGAAGCGAGGGTAAACTCTTATTATTAGGGGGAATACTTCTATTCGGAGGGCACCTTTTTGGTCTAAATCAATTCATTTTAATATTGTATGTACGGTGTGTTGTGTAGTACAAACAGCAGCATACTCCAGTGTAGAACATGCACCGAATAATAATTTTTATATAATCTATGTTTTAATGGATTTTCTATAGACTGATGAAGAAAAAATATTTTTTGATCAAGGTCACGAGTGAATGAATATTTGTATGAAGAAACGAATTGGTGGATATTTATAATAAACGTTGTTAATATATTTACGGCTCTTGAAGTACGTGTGTTACATTTTACATTTTACAGCATTAGTATAAGTTTGTTATACTAACTCCTTACATGGGCACATCAATGGTTACAATAAAGTTATAAATTAAATGCTTGCGGTACCACGTAGATGAAGCTATACTGATATACACATGTTTTTCAGTAAAAAGATAAAAACTTAATTATATGCGATTACACACCGTACGTCTGTGTTTTAATTATTACAGTAGTCATCAATCGCTATGTTTTGCTTTTGACACTAGACCTATAAAGAAAAATAATTAAAAACTCACCGATCTTGTTTTTTGGATGTATTTATCTGTATGGCGCAGCGTGTTCCTTGTGCGAGATGGCAATGGAGAGTTTTGTTTGGAGATGAATATCAAGATTATATCCATTTAGTTAATAATTGATCACTAATTCAACTGAGTTTAATTCCGTGCTATATCTAATATAGACCAAAGTCTAACTAGACAGTTACACTTGTTATCTATTGTATTCTGACATTTAAAATTTGATATCAGTTTATCTAAGCCAGTTTATTAATATTCTTCATATCCTTATTCATGTATTCATTCTCTCTAAATAATGTACATAAGTATTCTCATCAACTATTAATATTCAGGTTATAAAGCACTGACGACACATGTTACGCCTTCATCTCCAAATGTTCATGTTTTTTAAATTGTCATAAAACTGAGTTTAATTCCGTGCTATATCTAATATAGACCAAAGTCTAACTAGGCAGTTACACTTGTTATCTATTGTATTCTGACATTTAAAATTTGATACCAGTTTTATCTAAGCCAGTTTATTAATATTCTTCATATCCTTATTCATGTATTCATTCTCTCTAAATAATGTACATAAGTATTCTCATCAACTATTAATATTCAGGTTGTAAAGCACTGACGACACATGTTACGCCTTCATCTCCAAATGTTCATGTTTTTTAAATTGTCATAAAAACTTAATACATGGACATTTTTAGTTGAAACGGTCTTCGTTAAATAAAGTGCTGGTAAATAATTAGTAATTTTTATCGATATAGGCAGGACGCCACCAATAGCACGGGATATCATTGGTGGCGTCCTGCGAATGACACGCACACTGGACACGCACAGAGTTGGACACGCACGCACGCACAGCAGAACCATGCTCTGTGGAAACGCATACGTGCAAATGACGCGCACAGGTTTGTCGCTAGGATACATGTTTTCAATACCATCGACTTGTTACATCAGCATAGATTGCGCTGGATGAGGAGAAAAATGTGATGCAAATGGCGTCATATACAAGCAATAGAGATGTAAAAAGTAGTGGATATATTTCAGGAAAGCTAAACGATACAAACAATTTACTAGAAGAGGAGAATCGCTGTCTCAGATCACAATTGGCGTTGCTAAAAGAAAATTCGGACTTAAAATCTGCAACATTAATCAGTATACTTTCAAGTTGGATTTCAGGCAAACGCTTACAGATTTCATGTGGTAAGAGCAGGAATACGTACGGTCTTAGTCTTAGGCCCAATAAAAAAAATTATTAGTTTATCACCCTCGCGCGCATGCCTTCTATGGTACTAGAAAAAAAAATTGTGAAAAAAAAATTTTTTTGAAAAAAAAAAAAAAATTGAAAAAAAAAAAATATTTTGAAAAATTGATATTTTTAATTTTATTTATTTATTTTTTTTAATTTATTTTATTAAATAGTTAGTAAATATTGTTTGCATTATCTAAATCTTGTTTTACTTTGAATATCAATGCACCAGCAAACAAACCAAGGGTTATATTTGGCTTTAGCAAAATAAAAAATAAATAAAAAAAGCCTCCCTCCCTCATCACTTTTCCTGCCCAGATAGGGTGATAAACTAATAATATTTTTTATAGGGCCTTATACTTAGACGTTCCTTATATAAATATTCATGGCACTTATGACTGGCCAAGGCGTACGACAACAATTTACTCAATTATTATTATTATTGTTAATTATTATCATCATCAAAGTCGTCATTATCACCATCACCAACATCATCATCATCATCATCATCATCATCATCATCAACAACAACAACATCATCATTATCATCATCATCATTATCACCATCATCCTCGAACATTAGTAGTACAATAGTGACTACAGTGTTTGTAATATAACATATAACGTGATCTAGGCCATCTCTTCTTATTCTACTTTCACCGCTATCTGGCGATTTTATATCGCACAAATGTGGCTCATGTAAAACGTTTATCAGTAGACTTATTTCTGGTTTTTTTTTTTTTTTATTTATTTATTTAGAAGACACTGATAAATCATGTTGCCCTCAAAAGAATATACCAACGAATGGTTTTGAAAATTGTTGTGGAAAATCTAGGAAGCAAGAAGACATATCGTGTGAGTGTACACTTCCTCAGCCAATCATCAACCTTGAGCAAACGTCATGTGATCCCCCGTCATTTCCAGCTGGTTCATCGTACCAACAATTTATACCGAAAATGCATTCCACTCCAAAAAAGAACGCCCAGAAGTCTGAACAACATAATGTTTACAGTGATCCACGCAGGCAAACCGGAGAATCAACGTCAATTGACGCTAGCCTGCCTAGTCTTCAGCTTTATGACTCGCACCCTCCACCCTCAAATACGTCAGGCGTCGGTTCCTCTACCTCAGACCAGATTTACATGTCTTCAATTGTGCGCCAGAGAGAATTAAAGTCTAGAATACTGGGTGAAATTGCTTTTCAACTTGATCGTCGTATTGTGTCGTACGTGTTCAGGCCAACTAGCGACCAACACTTTAGAAGACGTTTCTACGGTTATTCATTACTTACTATGGCGACATTGCTAGACATTGAAGCGGATGGTGATTTGGAGTTGCGACATCATTTCATAGAAAGACTTCGGAAATTAGTAACTTTCTTAAGCCCGCATGGTTTTGATATTGAATATCACCCGGCGCGCTTGGTTTCAACTGTTAATAAATTCGGTCGACTTAATATTATGAACAGAAGCCCTGAAACTACAGAACCCTTTTTGGATGGAGAAAACTTCAATGAATTATTGAGTGGTTTGCAGCTCGAACAAATAGAACGTATCGATATGTTGATCTTTCTGTCTTGCCTAAAAGCGATGTCGAGTGCTGATAAACTTCAACTGTTTGTATTCTAGCGAACATGCTACTCAATTTTATATCATATTTACTGGTTATAAGTTACATTAATTAATGATTGTGCGTTAATATGGCTAAAATATTTAGTATAAAGAGGCTAGCTAGTGTAATGTGTATGTTATTTTCTGTTAATTCCAAAGAAGACAAGAATTACTTCTACATCGAAGCCTGACAGACACATAAAAATTCTCCTGAATGTCGATGTTACTTATTTTTTCTCTCGCATAAAGACGTACTTATCTTTGGCCCGGTGCGCGTGATGGTACGTAAACACATAGCGCTTGCATCTTTTAGAACATTTCGTAACCACAACTCTGTTGCTGACATTTCGTAACAAGTACATTGCAAGTTACGAAATGTCGACACCTCCTAAAGTATCTTAATAATGGGCTCCACATAATGATGGTAAGCATAAGTTTGATCAGAATTGAAATCAAATATATTTGTCTTTTTGAAATTACAATGTAACAAAATTGAAATTCACTAAATTCACAACGAAATTAACAGAAACTACAGAGTACAGATGACAGGCACGGTGCGTTTTACAACGCGGTGACCGCGACAAATTGTGGGCGGTTCACGAGGGCTAATCAGCCAGTTCTGCACACGGGCAACATTTTTCCTTGCCTTATTTACATGCTGCAGTATACAGACCGCAGGACAAACTCCTGTATATTGAATATTTTAATTACCGTCCTACTGAGTGCTTGGTCTGGAGCGGCAATTGTTGGATGTGGCCGCGGGAAAAGTCACAAAGTATATGCGGCCTGTAATCGGTACCGTATGTCCTATATTACAATCAATCGTGTTAATATAATCATTGAGGAATTTAATACATTTCCTACATGGTATAATAAACTAGTAGTGAACCTTTTATGTAATCCCATAAAGGAGGAGCACCAGTTAGACACGCTATGGAATTTTGTTGGTGATAATATTTTTATTCAAAAACTAATTTATACTATATCGTGCACAAATGAAATGGAGACAATTGCCGAACTGTGCTCATATAGGCCTAGTGTAAACGAATCACTGACGGAGCCTATACGCAAATAAGTATCTCTAGTATTTTATATGGTACAACAAAATCTCGAGCGTAGGCCTAAGTAGTTTGTACAATCCGTAAGAAAATTTTAAATGTAAAATAGCCGCTAGAGCGGTGTTTGAAAAACCGGATGTAACATGGTAATGGCTGTGTACTTGTATAGCGCATTTACCTCAACCAGGCTTCAACCGAGTTATCCAGGCCTTCCTCGACGATCATCGATTTATACATCTAAACAGCTCTGTTGTCTTTAGTGGCTTCCTTTTTAAGCATAATGGTCTTTGTATAGCCTTACTCTGTATGAATTTCCGTGTATAGCATGTAAAAAATATTGTCCGATCGTCCAGTGGTCAGTCCATTGCAACACGGTATAATTCATCAGTGAGAGAACATTCACGGCCGTTGTCAGTATCCTTAACTCATGTCATACTACTTGTTTCTCAAACTGTTTTATTTAGCTGTAATCGGCACCAATGTGAACTGAATAAATCATAATAATAGTTCATGTCCTCATCCTGGGTGCATTATTAAACACAGCGTGGTAATAATCCCAGGAAGCTACAGAAATTGTAATCACGCTTGGCGGCTTTTGAGTATCATCCAGCGAATTTGGTTTCGACTGTATAAATTCGGTCGAATTATGAACAGAATCCCTGACACTACAGGACGAACACTTCAAGGAATTGTTAAATGAGTTGCAACTCAAACAAATAGAACGTTTGATGTTGATCTTTCTGTCTTAGACAGCCTAAATAATGCGGTAAAACGAGTCTTTAAAAAAGCAACGTGTAGGCCTATTGATCAGTGAGTGTAGGCCCTATACTCACGGCCGGACGGCCATTTTAGTAACTAACTCTCAAACAGTTGATTTAGCGTATTCGGCACCAATATCAATTAGAATTAATCATATGGAGGAAAGAAACAATAAAACAATGTTTCTTTCATCCATGATCATATCAATTGTTGTCCTCATTCTAGGTTCATAGTGGGATACTTCATAGTAAGCTACGACATTGTGCTAGTTCTTCTTCATTATGATAAAGCACATGCTTAAATTTTGCTGGTATCTTCTATCATACGTTTCCTCTAAATCAACGAGATAATCACTTCTATCTGGAATTTTAAGCTTTTCTGCCTCATCAGAGGCAATGTATTCATATCCGGCGTCATAGGCGATGTCTTTAAAAATTTCCGAATTTCCGCCCTGGAGATTATCCCCATAGAATATGTACGTATTTGAGGACGCCTCACGAAGCAGACGGGTGAGGTTGTACTTGAAGCCTTGTAGGCCTTTGACGGCGCTTACGAACTTGAACATTAGTATAATATCCGCTTTCTTGACACTAGATAACACCTGACTTGATATATTCTGATTCGTAATATCATGAGCAATATAATTCATGATGATTTGTTGTGAATCGATAGGATTCAGATGCCTCTGAACGGCCTCCCAAGCTGATCTCCATTCTGCATGTTTGTCAACAACCGTAGCATTAAGAAACACATCTTGATAAATTCCGTCATCTCTTAAAAAATCCTGGATATACATATGTAGGCCAAGCACATCAGTTCCAGGACCACCTCCAATAGCACACACATTCAGGCTGTTCTGTCTTCTGTCGGCGATTTGCAACATAATGGAACCGAAACTGTGACGCATTCTACCATCAAGAAGTTCAATTCCACTTTGTACGCCATGGCAAAGAGCAGGGAAGTAGGTGAACAAGTAGGCTGCTTGATACCTTGGATCGTCCAGGTTCTCAGTGATGCCACGTTTCAATCTGTAATCATTGTATGATGCAGACAAGCTTACTATTATGCTGTTCATGTCAGTGTCGCTTACTTTACAGCGATGTTGGCTTTCATAGTCTTTAATTAAAGACAAAAGAGCACTACGTGCTATCTCAAGTACTGACTTGTCCATCTTTGACTACTTTAAAATTCCCGCCGTCTTTTTATAGCCCACCATTTTCTGGTTTTTCCAGGATTACGTCATTTTCTATTATTAACTCATAAAGTGCAGCCGATGAGGACTCACTTCAATAATCTTTTAATTTTTTTGTTTTCAGGAACCCACCGGAACAATTTTCAAAATCTTCGAATCAAAGAAAAGGGCCTTACATGTGCGATCAGTAATACTAACTTTTCCATCTTAAACACGGTATAAATTCCATGTCTTTTGACTACAGCCTGATAATTTCAAAATGTACAATTTGTGTTGGTTTTTCCGGTATGACGTAATGGTGATTATTTTATGAGGTGACGTAATAATTTAATAATAACCTAACCAATGCATGAGGGCTCACTACAATTTATCCATCATCACTCATACTGATAGTAACCAATTACATTCTAACGAACATTATGTTGAAGACTCCAATCTCTCTGTTTCGCCTACTAAAATAATTATTTCTGGACATTCCCGAAAGATTGCTAAAAATTTAAAAAGTTATAGCAGAACCCTTATTAAGGAGACACCTTATTCGGGACCAAATTTGTGTCCTCTTAATGTTTATATGTGGGTGTTATATTTAAGTTTAAAATAGTACAAGACAGCTTTCCTTTGAAACTGGTTTAAGTCAGTTAACGAGAATTGAATCGTTTTAATCTGTTTTTCAATTGAAAGTCATCTTTAAAATTAGCAACTTCTGCATTTTTTTTTCAATTCAAATTTTAGTCTTCAACCTCCAAATAGGAAAACATTGATGTATGGCGGAATTCTAAAAGGTAGCAAGAACGCCACTATTGTGTGTAAATTAAAACAATAGAAATAATTAAATGTCTAGGACGTACCGGTAACAAAAGAAATGATATCAGTAGGCCAATATGGTGTTTGTCATTGAAACAAAAAGGTGTGTATACGATATAATAGACATGATGTTACGGTTATATTATTTTCAGGGTATGATGTCATGCTATGCATTTGTTAGTGTATGTCGTGCTAAATATCTATAATATCCTTATTAATTTTTAAAAATAAGTTTTATTTTCCAAAAAAATATAATGAACGGGTTGGCACAACGGTTGTGTTGTGGCTCGGACTCTCAACCTTGGGGGGGGGGGGGGGTGGGAANNNATTGCTATTATTATTATCATTACTGATATTACTATTACATATATCACTACTATTACTAGTTTTAGTAACACTATAATTATTTAATTAAAACCTTTATAAATAATATTTATTTACCTAGGAAGATATTTTTCAATCAGTTTATTTTTTAGCTTAGTGGTATTACCATTTTATCCTCTGGAATGTATTGAGCTTATATTTTATATTTTTTGTTTTGATGTTATTGTTTTTTACCATAATGACTTCAGCATAGCCGTGGGCTTATATGCTATATTTCCAACAGATTTTTATATTGATCTTCTGTACTTTTAATATAGTAATAGGGTTGATTATTTCTACAGACTAGTAGATGCTTTGTCTACCACATTTGCATACTTTGTTGTTGTAGGCCCTCCTCTCGTTATCACATTGTATAGATAATACTTATCCCATTTTTGTCTCCTGGTGAAGTCCACTGTGTGGACGAAAGCTAGATTAAATTTTATACAAGTTAGTCTTAAAATTGCTGCTGTCTTTCTTTTGTATTGTTCAATAATTCCTGTGTTGGTTTTTCCTGTATGACGTAATGGTGATTAGTATACAAGGTGACGTAATGGTTTAATAATAACCAGCCAATGATGGCGGCTCACTTCAAATACGTTCCTATCATCACCATTCATTCAATGAGTAAAATAGCCAATTAAACGCATAACGAATTATGTCGACGGCTCCACTCTCTCTTTGCCTACCAAAATATTACTGGACATTCCCAAAAAATTGCTAATAATATAAAAAGATATAACAGAACCCTATTAAGGGGACACTTTGGGGGACCGTGAGTAGGGTTATACGTGTTAAAATATATATTTTCTCTCGTTTTGCAGTGTTCTACTGTACTGTAAGGAGGGTTCTACTGTATAGTCTAACGTAATCTATGTTGAGTTAAAAAATTAAACAGTAAAGGTAAATGCAGAAAAACCTATTAAGAGACACCCTCGGGACTAATCAAGTGTCCCCTCATGGGTTGGGTGGCCGTAGTATTGAGATACTTCCCTCATTTTGTGACAGAAAAAGTGTCACTTTAATAGGGGTGTCCCCTTAATAGGGGCGTGCCAAAGGAGGGGTTCTACTGTGTTTATATGTACAGTATATATCTTGTTTCTTTTGTGATATTTGTTGGATGTTAATAACAATAATAATAATAATAATAATAATAATAATAATAATAATAATAATAATAATAATAATAATAATAATATATACAATAAATATTCTCTAAACAAGTTATAGGTCTACATGCATTTTTTTTTTTTTAAATGTTTTAAACAATCCCTTTCATGAATTGTATATGTTTTGTATTTCTCGATTGTTTGATTGTGTTTTTACCTTGCTGTTGTGTTTGAAATAAAAAAAATATTGAATGGTTGAATATTGATATGTGTAAACCGTTAACATTTCAACCTCCAATAAATACGAAAAAATGGCGGCAATCGAATGAGAGGGCGGTGTGAGTGGGTATAGAAAATGAAAGTAAGGTGGCGTAATTGCAAGAACGAATTCAATTGGTTCAGTGATTAAAAATACGGTGACTTGATGGTTTGAATAGCCCCCTTTTGGTGAAGTAAACATGAACGAATAGGCTGATGATGGTCAGAACAATCTCACTGAAACAGCGAGACAACCTACCAGTGGTTTTTACCTCAAAAACCATAATTTTACACATGGTGTACGGAAACCAGTAGTTCACGTCAAAAACAATAATTTTACACATGGTACGGAAACCAGTGGTTCAAGTCAAAAACAATAATTTTACACATGGTGTACGGAAACCAGTGGTTCACGTCAAAAACAATAATTTTACACATGGTGTACGGAAACCAGTGGTTCATGTCAAAAACATAATTTTACACATGGTGTACGGAAACCATTGGTTCACGTCAAAAACAATAATTTTACACATGGTGTACAGAAACCAGTGATTCACGTCAAAAACCATAATTTTACACATGATGTACGGAAACCAGTGGTTCACGTCAAAAACCATAATTTTACACATGGTGTACGGAAACCAGTGGTTCACGTCAAAAACCATAATTTTACACATGTGTACAGAAACCAGTGATTCACGTCAAAAACCATAATTTTACACATGATGTACGGAAACCAGTGGTTCACGTCAAAAACCATAATTTTACACATGGTGTACGGAAACCAGTGGTTCACGTCAAAAACCATAATTTTACACATGTGTACCGAAAGTTTATTTATTTTATTATTGATACTCGCCATGCAAACTTAAAAGAAATAGTATGTTAAGTAAAATAAATGTTAAGATTGGTGACGTATCAACACAGAATTGATGACTTCATTGTCCAATTGTTAATGAATTCAAACACAAAGAAATAAGAAGCGATTAATCATATTTAAACTATCATACATTTTCAGTGGGCAATGAGGTCCATATTTTATGCATGTATAAATCAATTTTAAAAATAAATAAAATTATTATAAATGGAAAAATGGCATTGTATGGTTATAAGCCTATAGATGGATTGTGAAAATACAGTTAATTCTGGTCCTTAGGTATATTATGAAACTCCTGAATGTATGCGGCATCCGTTGGAGTAGCGCAATAACAGTGTTTGATTTTAAGAATAGGCGAGTTAATTATAGGAATGTGCCTTTCTAGATTGGCTTAAAGATATTATTTTTTAATGTGGGGAAAGATTTTTTTTTATGTAGAAATAAACAATCCAATAGCTCACTATTACTATAGTAAAAAAAGTGCGTATCTAAATTTAAACAACGTACAATTTACAATCAACTTGATTTTCCTCCGCCATACATCACGTTAGCCCAGTGTTCCATAAGCGTATCGGTGATGACTCTTTCCCATCTGCTCGATTACGAAATTCTTCCATTACTTATTTCTACAGTTTAATGCCTTAGGAAACTCGTCTTTTTGATCATGTTCGGACTTAGGGCATTAAGGTATTTATTGTACTCATTTCATTTTTAATATTTTTATTTTTTAATTCTTATTACCTGTGATTTACTTCGGTCTATGACTCATGAAAGCATACTCTGTTGGTTTTTGTTAGGGATTGTACTTGGAGGAATATTAATTATAGTGGCGGGTACTTAGCACTTTGTGTGGCAAGAAAAAGCACGAAGGTCCAAGGACTAGCAACAAGTAGGGGTACCCTGCATCTGAAGCAACTAGTTGTCTTAGCCTGCATGCCCGGCCAGGGGATTCAAATGGTCGTAATGTATTATACTGTATTTATGAAAAGCTTTGATTGTGTTTAACTGTATTTATTCTTTAACTAGTCATTATTATCAAACCTTCCAGATTGTTTCTGTAACTGATGTACATGTTACCCAAGAAATGGTATCGGCGTAAATGCTGCCCCTGATTTGGAAAAAAAAACAAGGCACTAACTGCATATTTTTTAACCGAAATTTCTGACATATTTAGAAAATATCTACTTGGAAAATAAGATATTTTCAGGCTTTAAGTATGCAAATGGGCATTAATTACACCGTTACACGACCGGAATGTCTTGTATTATTACTATAAACGACAATGAGCAGTTCAGAACTATTAAACACAAAATTAAAGCCAAAATTATCAATGTGTATAAGGTTTATTGCTAAATCTTAATCGCACCGTCTATAATCACAATAAATACGGATAGTTACGTTAACTTAATACTATCAGCCTAATGGTGTATTGATTTTTTTTACACTTGGTTCGGAATCAAAACATCGTGACGTCATCTCATAACTTTCAACAAATGAGAAGATTCAGTGGCAAAAACCGCCACACCAAGCCATACAATGAGTCAATGAGCAGTATAGAACTATTAAACACAAAATTAAAGCCAAAATTATCAATGTGTACTATAAGGTTTATTGCTAATTCTTAATCGCACCGTCTATAATCACAATAAATACGGATAGTATACGTTAAATTAATATTATCGGCCTAATGGTGTATTTATTTTTTTTAAACTTTTTTTCGGAATCGAAACATCGTGACGTCATCTCACAACTTTCAACAAATGAGACGATTCGGTGGCAAAAACCGCCACACCAAGAAATACTTTGAAAAGTCAGTAAAAGAAGAAGACAATTTCGATACAGTGGCGGCGCCAGCAGGGATCCAGGATCGGCACACTCTTATGGGAAAGTCTCGGCCCCCTTTAAGGAAACACTACTTAGACAAAGTATTTTTACAGTATGCGAGTGCCACTTCCGCACAGGTGCCTGATCTTGATTAGCTTCAACCATGGTAGGGCCGGAGGTGAAATAGCCCCTGTCGGCTGTGCCTTGGACGCAAAATTGTTGGTACCACTACTGTTTTGAATTATGATCGAAACATTAGACATGTTCTTCCTCTGTACAATAATGAAAATAAAGACATTGAATAACAGACATTCGGCAATATTCCACCGATGTGCTTATCTTAAACAATACAGCCAATAATACAAACAGAGACCCATTAGCTGGGCAACAGTATTTGGTCTATATATTTGGTCTGTAAATTGGCTGCTCGTTATTTGCACATGTTGACATTATCTGGGTTTTCAAACAAACCTCTTACGATTATATTTTATACATTATAAACCAAAGCAACGAATCAATCACATTAGAACAGTAAAATGAGCAGTTTAAACGAATGCTATCTTAATATTTTGCCATTAGAATTTTAGGAAACGAATTGATTTTACAAACTATCAAATATATGGTACCGTAGTAATTCTGTCCATATCACAGTATGTATTTTTAGAATTTAATTACATTAACATAACAAATTAGCTTTTCATTATCATTAGCAAATCTTATGTACAATCTGAAAAATATTAATCTAAAATATCTAGTCTAATGACAAAAAATATAGGCCAGACACAGATGACATAAAATAATTGAGTGACTTTCCCTGACCCAAGCATGCGCACTAAATAAATCGCAGTACGAAACCTTACACACGAAATAAAAACAAATGACCCATCTGCGATTACGTATATGCAGATTTGGTATCTGATAGATTGATACAGTATAATGAATTAACAATTTCTACACAAAAAAAAACATAAACGGGAGTTTATTATCTACATGATTAACAACGACAAAGCCAAATTCTAGCAATGCCCATAAACACTGATGAAATAATTTGAAACTTTTTAAACTGTGGAAGGGAACTGTGAGTTTTGTGAGTCTTAGTTTTACCGGACACCGGTTCCGTAGTTAGCGCCACTAGATTTAATGACTGCTTGTTCGATATTCGTGTAGTTCATGTCCACATGGGTATCTATCATAAATTCCGTTGCAAACTCCTGGAAAAAAAAAACCCAACAAAACATTAAAATAGTATATTTCACGCTGTCATTTTGTGAAACTTCCAGATGATGAAGCTTAGCGCGGAAAGGCTCAATACCTATGCACACGGTAGGCCTAAACAGCTTATATCGCTTACGTTGTGTGATTTCGAAAACTTGTTATTTTACTTTTAATCTCAGGGGCTCAGTATTTCACAGACTTGATTAATATAATGACAGATCTTTGGAAGTGTATTTTATAACATGAACATAGACATATTGAACTTCAGATTGGTAAGTTAAATTTTTTTTTAAATGGAAGAAGAAAAAAATTATAAAATTGCTCATTTTATAATCTTTTCTTTTAATTCTGATCCGGCGTTTGCATTTAATGTAAAGCGCATAGATGTTTTTTGCATTTTGCACTATATCAAAAGAAATATATTATTATTATTATTATTATTATTATTATTATTATTATTATTATTATTATTATTATTTGTTTTTTTATCATTATCATTATTATTATTATTATTAAGTTTAGTTAATTGAACTTGAATGATGTGAAAGAAAATGTAATAAAAATGTACGCCATCTACTTACGCGAATTGCTTGCTTTACGAATGCCTTGTCTGTGCTCACTTTTGCTTTTTTTATGGGGCTAACCTCTGGTCCTATCCATGTAATAAAGGCAAACTTGGCACGTCTACTCATCTCATCACCAGTTTCGAGCCTAAGGTACACAAAAGCTCGTTCGTCATCTGAAAATAAAATAACATCATAATGATTTTATTAAACATTTATTTCTATTACATGGAGCTTTACACTACGAGAGTCAGACGTAATGACGTGAATAACAAATCATCTGCGCATGCGAGAACGTTGAGTTCTCGTCGTTGCTAGGATTATAGGACGCAATTTGACCCGAATATGTACGTTGTGAAAAAAACATATTGTGGTCACGGATGAGTGAATCTGTTGTAGACTTATATCATCGCGCAAACCGAAAGTTCCATAATAATTAACGTCACAAAACACGTTTGCTTGATCATTGCAATGAAATACAATCAAGGACACAGAATGTGCACTGTTCCGCTTCCTTAGAAATATTCTAGTAGTGCAGCCAACTGACAAAATTCCTACACAGGTATCTATATAAACTTAGATAAAATATAGCATCATCATCAAGTACAAGCTTTAGGTACGGCCAAAGCATGCCAGATGTAAATCTTTCTTCACAATATACACCCTATAAGAAATTCTTTTCTGAAAAATGAATCACTGATTCCCTTTGTATCAATCATAGATTTGTTTACATTAACTAAGTATATCGTTTGGAGCGCCGCAAGCGAGTGAAAAGCAAATTTCGTTTTCATCAAGTCAACACTCCAACCTCTCCTCTCCCTATTGAAGGGAGAGCACCAAATTCGCTATGAACGTTACGTAGGGCCTACAGATTTACGCCAGATTTCTCTTATATGTTTTTCAAGATTTTAATGCCTTTTACCCTATTTCATTTACCCTGATTTCGGAGTATTATGCCCGCTGCTTAAATGACAGATACAAATTACCCAAATACGGTGCGTAGAGTATGGTAAGCCATCCCTACCAATTTCCATGGCAACGAGTTAGTTAAGCCCTTGTATCATTATTACACTAAATTATCCATTCTATTGGTACTGTTCAGTACTCATGAATACAGTTATGGTCCTCAGCAGGGTTTTGGGTTCAAGTTCCAGGTTAAGAATGCAAAAACAGAGTTGAGTTTCGGTAGGTCATAATGGAAATAGCATTTTACAAAAAAAGAATGAGCTGTTACGTTTGACAAAACGTTTGGCCAAAAAAAAGGATTAAAATAGCTAAACATCTCAGCAGGCTATACGACGAAATCCCACAACGAGAGTCGGTATATAATTGAATGTACAGGCTCTTCGTCAGTCAATCTGAAGTTTAATGTTAAGTTGCACAAATGAAAAAAATTTACGCATGTTAAACCAACCGATTATTATATGCCTAAGCAACCGTACATTTCAGTTGTTCTGAACGGCCCTTCTAGGCTACACAGAGAATGAATATATATATATATATATATATATATATATATATATATATACATATATATATATATGTGTGTGTGTGTTTATATATGTACAAACATATATACATATATATAAGCCTATATATATATGTATGTATACATATATATATACATACATATATATATATATGGTTTTTAATTAAACTGACTAATTAGTTATTATTTCTTATTATTTAATCTTCTTTCTTAAACCAAGTAGATATAAATCTTCATTTCAACAATGTGTTTTATTTTGAGTATTTTAAACCGATTAAATAAATAAAAATGATGACTAAATTTGTTCATTATATTTTATCATTTTGGTGATTTGTGGACCAAGATTTAAATATAGGGTCTGTGATTGAACGAATCAAGTAAACATGGCGGTATAATATTAACAGGTAGGTTGGCCTTGCATCTTGGCTTTAAAAAAATACTCAAATATTTAAATACTGAGACAACATTGACGGAATGCAAGGTCAGTTGAAGGAAATGGGATTCAACGAATAATTTGAACAATTAAAAGTTCATTAAACTACTGAAAATGTGCGTACAACAATCGAAACAGATTAAATACTGAACAGAACGTCGGAAATGTGTTTGAAATGAATGATTTGTTGGTTGTGGCCGTGTGTGCGAACCCGGAAGAGAATACCGGAAACATCGCCTGCTAACCGCCGTGGCTTTAGCAACGACTTACATACCATAACCTTATATGGAAAATGTGGCTGTCTAGAATTCTAGCTAGAAGGTGGGTCACTCTCCAATCCTTCTTTTTGCTACGGCTCGAACCGAACTTATATAACATTTCATAATTTTACACAGGTTGAGAAAAAAAAGCATTACAGTTGTAACCACAGGAACAGCCATTGTATTAAGTGTGCGTGCGCGTGCGAAACATGCGTGTTGGCCAAGGCACACATGCTTCTGATCGGCCTCCCCAGCAATATTTTTGTTAGAAGGGGATATTTTTTTTTTTTTTAATCCTGATGAAATCCAAACTAGTCCCGTTATCGTACAATCAGCGTGAAGGAAAACAACCCGTACTAAAAAATAACAATTCATTTTTTTTATTTGAGCACCATTGGTGGAGATGTGCTCTTTATAAATCTTTATTATTATTAATATTATAAAGCTATGGATGATGTTTTATGCTCTACCAACAATTTAACAGTCGGTTGATGGCATTTTAATCGCTCTATTTCACTTTTGTTTTAGATTAGAGTCACGTAATAATATGAAATATTTGATGGTCCGTTGAAATATGCAACCTGCAAAAATGCAGAAACATCCTGCATGCAATATAGTCCGAGTATGACCATGAAGGTAGGTCTATATAGTTTTAAACCTCCATGATGAAAAGTATTGTATAGGCCTACCTCCGTACTTAGGAAAATAAAGAGTAAAGGCATGGACCTATTAAAAAAGCAACAGTGATTCGGAACGCGGGTGACGTATCCGAAACAATAGCTTCGACCAAGCTGAAAGGAATCTTTCAAATAAGATGCGTTTTAACAATGCACCCAACATCGTAGGCTAACAATGAAGTATTATGACGGAAGGTTAAACTATTGTTTGCTAATTGTGTGTAGTTATATCGATTAAGCTTTAAAAACATTTACAGGATAATTCATACAAATACAAAGTCCTTCCTAAAGATATAACAGTTTCACATTTAGCGTAAATTACTGATATCAGATTATCGTTTTTAACACAATTTCGTTTTGTTGTAATTAAACGTGATGTATGTTTTCAAATATAACCAATATGAATGCAATGGTGGCAATATGCAAATAAGATGGAATGAAAAAAGGAAGAAGTTGGATGGGAGTGGGCGACTCAGGATCTCTTTCAGAATAGTTCATTGAATTATTGCTGAAGTAGACTTTGAAAAGGTCATCGGACGGCACTCCATGGACATATATGACCGGCTGATGAAAATACAGGTATATAATATACAAAGGATTACAGCTTGGCCTAGTCGCTTAGTTGGCAAAATATTAATAATGATAATAATAATAATATATATATATTTTACAT